TCCTTTATTTTTTTAAAAAAAACTTTTATTTGAGAGACAGTGTGGTAATAATTGGTATGTCATGACAAGCAGTATGTATTTAGAAGACCAGAATGACAACCATTCCAAGAGTGATCCTTCTATTACACATTGCTATCTTCAGTGCAGCTGCTTTGTTCACAGGTATCAGCATATATAGTCAGGGTGAGAATCCTACCAATTAACTGCTAGTTTCAAAAACCTGCTGATGTTTCTCAGGAGCATTGCCTTACTCATCTTGTGCATATAAATGTATGGCTTTGCCCCTGTCCTGTTTCCCAACTTTTCTCCTTGCCCTCTCCTCATTGTCCGATCCTCAAGTTCTCACTTTCCTTTTAATTGTATTATACCTTTCTATTTGTAATTCTTCTCTTGAGTTCTCATACTAGGGAGACTATACGATATTTACACAAGTGGGTCTGGTTTATTTTGCTTATAAGGATATCTTCAAGTGGCATCCACTTAAATATGAAGGCTTTGAGTTTATCATTCTTTATAGCTGAGTAATACTCCACTGTATATAAATACCACCTTTTTTCAACCTGGGTTCCTCTCTAAAAGAAGAATTATTCAGTATCAGGCTTTATCTCTGAAGCTTTTCTTCAAATTTTGAAAACAATTCCAGAAATAAGAAGAAAAGTGAAAACCTGCTCGACTTAGCTGGGTTCCTCAGAAACCACAGTAGAGGCTGCTGCACCACATCTTCTAGGAATTGATTTAAAAGTTTTCCGCTTCCTGGGCCATTCCATCAATACAGAGGGTCTGTGGCACATCTGACACTGGCTGCATCAATCCACAAAATCAATAGATTGCAAAGTCAAAGAAAGAGACAAGAGACACCGAATATATGGCCACCGGCTGGAGCCATGGGAGGCGGTACGTGCAGCAAATCTCTGTTTCTAAGAGGTAGATCCTGACCTACCTCTAAAGATCACCTTCTTTAATCACAAAAATATTTTAAAATAACATCATTGACAACACTCAGTAGTGGATCTGCTAGGGTAGAATTTCATTCAGCACAGCCCTCTGTTTCACGAGAACAATTTATTGTATGCTGAAAGATCAATGGTGAGTTAATCGCTTTGAACAAGTCCAGTGAGAGTGTGGTGAGGAGTCTAGACATCAGTGTGAAGAGGCGAAGAAAGAAAAATGAAAGGAAAATAGACCGTGAACACACAGGTTCATCTGCCAATGTTAAGCACATATACAGCAAACTGATGCAGGGTGAGAATTCCTTATCTGAAACATTTGGAACTAGAAGTGTTGCACCTTTTGGAGTTTTTTGAATTTTGGAAGCTCTGCATAGGTTTTATAGCATATGGTCCAGCATCCCTAATCCAAAACTCCAAAATCTCAAATCTGAAACTCTGGTTCATGGCCAGTTTTGGACTTTCAGATTAAGGAAATTCAACCAGCAGAACTAACAGCAACATTTGGAGACAGAAGCTGAGGATCAAGTCACAAGACAGACCCTTCTTTGCAAATCTCAGGAAAAGAATAAATCTAAAATGTACCTGAACATAGCCTGCACTTTTTAAGGTCAAATCTGAGTACAGTACATAAAAGCTGATTTTATTTCACAGCTCTATCTTCTTAGGAATTTGCCCAGAAAAAAAGTTTAGATGAAGACGGAATACTTAACTACTACCAGGTAAGAATATCCAGTAAATTAGTTTTAGGGACAGGACCCTGGTCAAGAACTCAAAATGCCTACTGTAAGCCTCCTCTCCAACTCTCATCCCCAATTTAAATATCAAAATAAAAGTTTAGGGCTGGCCAAATAGTTCAGCAGATTAAAGCACCTGCAAGCATGTGCAGGAGGCAGGGGTGGGAGTGAGGGTAGAGGGGTTGGGGGTGTTCGATTCCCAGGCCTTTCATGCGGGCCCTGCCCCTGGGGTGTGTGGGACATGGCAATTGAGACCAGGGCATGGTGGGGCGCTCCTGTAATCCCAGCTCTTGGGAGGCTGTGAACAGGCGGATCACTACAATTTCGATCTAGTAGTGAGACCCTGAACACCCTGTAGACCCTTCCCTAAAATAAAAAATTTTTTAAAAAGTTTAAATAGTGCCATGAACACCTTTTCACCTTTCACTTGAATTTATTGCTGCTGACACTTCCCCCAGAGGAAGTGTCCCACAGAGTTATTCAAAATACAGGAACTTGGGGCTTCACCCTCAAATGTCTCTGCATCTCCCAAGAGTGAGAACAATCTGTACAGACCCACAATACCAAGAGCACACTTCTCAAAAAGTCTAGCATCGAGCCAGGCACAGTGGTACATATCGAGCCCCTGGTTACCTGGGAGACTAAGGCCTCAATGGCAGCATGGGAAACTCAGTAAGACCTGTCTCAAAATGTTAAAAAAAAAAAAAAAAAATGTTTTACAGGGCTGGCAGCCCAGCGTGGTAGTACACACCTGTAGCTGAGAGAATTGTGAGGCTACAACAGGAGGATCACTGTGAGTTCGAGGCCAACCTGGGCTTCAAAGTGAGTTCAAGGCCAGCCAAAATGCATACTGAAACTCTGTCTTTAAAAGACCAAAAAAAAAAAAAAAAAAAAGAGGGGGCTGAGGATATAGCTCAGGAGTAGAGTACGCCTGGATTCGAGCTCAGTAATGAGGAAAAGAAAAGAAATTGAACATCAATATATCATCTTTAATATATAATTCACATTAAAATATCTCTGATTATCCCAATAATTATGATTGTTACAAATGCCATTGCTTTTCATCTTTCCAATCCAGGATCTTATACTGATTCAGTTTTATTTCTTTAGTTTCTCTTTCTGTTAAACAGACTTTCTATCTTTTGGATTTCACAACATCGACATTTTTTAAAGATGCTTGGTCAAAATGTTTCGAATATCCTACAATTTGGATTTGTCTTATTATTTTCTTATTATTACATTCAAATTACTTAAGCATTTGAGGAAGAAAATTACTTTTTTAAAAATGTATCTGGTACAAGGTCTCACCGCATAGCTCGGACAAGTGGCATACGATACATTTCTCCATTCTAAAGGTGGCGAAATCATTAAATGATTTTGAAATTGTTTGGATCTGTGTTACCCACCAGCTTTTTGTCCAGTGCCTTTTGTATCAACTGATGACCTTGACTTGAGTCCATCAAAACAGTGCCTGCAAAATGTGGATATTTTTATTCTGTCCCTCCTTTCCTGGTCGTTAGCTAACCATTTTGCTGTAACACCCAGTTCCACGGAGCGGGGCAGCCTGTGCTTCTCACAGCATTACTATTCTTTTTGATATTTAAACCGCCCCCATCACCCTGGCTCTCATGTCCTTCTGTGAAGTCAGCATCAATTTCTGAGAATGACTGTGCCTTGTTCTCCTTCTGCCTCTGAAAACCAGCCCTCATAGAGTCCTGGCTACTTTTTTAGAAGGGGACAGCTTTCAACGACCAAAATCTGGCTTTGGGGTACACTCACTGCTGCAGAGCACCACTGCCACTGAGCCTTTCTGTTCATGTAGCCAGCACACGTATTCCTAAAAGAACTCATGAATTCCTCTGCAGATCAATGAGAACACTCCAGACAGCCCACAGAGAAATGTGAAGTTCTGTCCTCACCTAGGCTGTAAGAAGCTACGAGAAACCTATTTCCAGACTACAAATAAGAAAAACACAATCTACAAAATACCATCTTTTATTAAGCCAGTCAGAGAGCTGACACACAGAGCACCAAGGGATCTAAATTCCAAAGAAGGATGGGACATGAGAAAGGTTTTCCTTTTAGTAGAATCTAAAGAAAGTGGTGGCTACCATATACAAAGATGAGATAAAACTGGCCACTGCCCTAAGTACTTTATGAGCTCTTAAGACAACCAGAGGAAGTAGATGAGTGATTTGTGATTATCTGTGGCCCAAAGGTAAACAATTGTTATAGTTTGTGGTAGATGTCCCCCCAAAGGCTCATGTAGTCATGGGGAGGGTTTCTAGAGCTCGTGATTAAGTCACGATCCAATGCTGGAATTCTGGGTGTGGGCGCTAGGCCCACCCTGGGGCAGACAGCCTGAATGCAATAAAAGGGAGGGAGAGGGGCCTGCTCTCTGCGGCTGCTCCTCCCCTTTCGCTCTTGCTGTTGTGCTGTTTTCCCCACAGCTATGAACTGCTGCCCTCTTCCATGTGGAACTCTGCCTTGGAGCCAGCAGAGTATGGACTGGAACCTCCACAAACTATGAGCTAAGTAAATTTTTCCTGCCTTAATTTTGGGTGTCAGGCATTGTGTCCCCAGCAATGAGAGAAAAGTAATTGAGACACCAACAGAGATACTTCTCTATTAGAAAAAGATATAAAAGAATAAAGCTATGCTTTTATTAGCCCTTACGTTATTCTGAGATAGGGTCTCACACTAAAATGCCCTGTTGGCCTCAAATTGTGATCCTTCTACCTCAGTCTCTGGAGTAGCTAAAGTGACAAACATGGGTCACCATGCCTAACTAAGACACAAAGAGACTGAGACGAGGCCTACAACTGATATACCACAGTGGAGCATCACATACTCAGCACAACTGCACAGTGTACTCAAAAGTCTGAGAAGGAAAATTTTATATGTGATCTTGTATCACAACTTTCGAGCTTTTGGTTGGTAGCACTGGGGACTAAATATAGGGCTTCACGCATGCTACATAAGCTCTCTGATAACGAGCTACATCCCCAGCATCCTACCACAATTTTAAGTAGGATCCTAAGCATATTAATTATTGATGAGAAACAGAATTAACAGGTAAGCTTTCTTCTCTAGGAAAAAATACTTGGGACAGGAAGGGAAGAGGGACAGTCTTGTGAACAAAATTGTATTTAAATAGCCACACTGGGGCTGGGGAGATAGCTCAGTAGAGTAAGTGCTTGCCTGGCAAGCACAAGGTCCTGAGTTCAATCCCCAGTACCACAAAAAATAAATAGCCACATTGAACACGCGTGTATCACTGGGATTATTTGTGCAAAATCTGAAGAAGAGACCTCACCTTGATCTGCAGGACATCAAGTGGAATGGTCTCTCCCTTCACGATGGCGAGTGTGGCATCTGTAATGTGTCTAGAGGGAACAAAACGGAAGTGAGCGCGGCACAGTAAGAAGCCACTCCTCCCCGCCGTACACTCTGGCCCAGAATACTAAGAGTTCAGTCAGGAGGAAGACAGTCTTTCCAAAGTAGTCCGACAACCCACACAGGTAGAAAAGAATTACCTAAAGATATACGGTAGAAGGCGCTGATACAGACTCAAGGAGAAGGCTTTTCCAAAGGAAAAGTTTATCCAAAACATGAGTCACTTATTTAACATTTATTGAGTCTCTCCATTGGGCCTGACTCACATTTATCACTGGGAAATAGAATACTTATATACATAATAATAACATCTTTTATTCATTGTATGAAAAGCAGGCACTCCATAAAGCAATGTTTCTGTTTATTCTAGCAGGCAGAGGGTAACTAAAGGACAGGACTTGCTGCTATCACAGCAAAACATAATCCAGAACTCAGAACACATTTTTTTCTTAATGTCCAAGATTACGAGGATGTGTGGCATTTTCACTGTTGATTCATTTGCTCAAAGTCATGATACTATTCTTATCACTTTTAGAGACCTCTGACAAGTCCACATGTAAAAAAGTACTGATCAAAAGGCACATTCTAGTGACACCCAGCCAGGCACGTGAAACTACGCAAAGCCTCACGAGCACTTCTAGAGTGTGTACGTCAATGAGATCTGAGGTTGGACACACACAGCATGAGCAGTCAACCAAAGCAGCACCACACCAACACGTGGCCGCACGACGGAGTCCTTGCTCTCAGAGCAGAGAGAATGCGGAGATCGACGTTGAGCCTCTCCTCACACAGCCCATCTCTGCCTCCCACAACGGCTGCAGTCTCTGTCAGGCTGGCTACTTACACCCTTCAGCTCTTGCCTGAGCTGTCCCCTCTCACAGAAACCCAGCCCAGCCAGCCCTGAGGAGTTTCCTCCCTGTGACTATGCTCTACCACCGCACCATTCACATCCTTTCACGGGTCACAACTTACACTACTTCTCTATTTACTTTATCATCTGTTTCATCCTGGAGACTGAAAGTTCCATAACATTAGTGACAATTTACATTCATTTATGGGCCAGTGTAAAACACAGACTTGGTATGGTGCAAGGCACATAGCCAGCACTTGATATTTGCCGAATTACTTTATTCTATAGAATTGCAAGCATATAAATGCAGAGTAGCGCTATCAACTTCTACATATTCCTCCTACAGCTTTGATAATTGTCAACTCACAGCCAACTCTAGATGTCCCCTTCGCCCATGAACATATATCAACTAAAGTGAATTTTAGACAAAACATTAATTAATTTGTATCAACATATATTATCTAGGTTACTTCTCAATTAACATATAAATATATATGCATACGTAATTAGCTTCTTGCTCAAATCAAGATCCAAATAAGACATGCACATTACAATTAGCTTATGTCTCAAGTTTTTCCTATTCTATGAATACCCTCTTATTTCATTTTCCAATTTATCTATTTTTTGTATTTTAGGGAAGGGTCTACAGGGTGTTCACGGTCTCACTACTAGATCGGACTCGTAGTGATCTGCATGTTTACAGCCTCCCAAGAGCTGGGATTACAGGCGCGTGCCACCACGCCCAGTCTCTACAGTCGTCTCAGAGCACCCCGGGGGTGGGACTGGCACAGCAGGTCCGGGGACTGAACCCCTGGCCCCTGTGCCTGTTTGCAGGAACTTCAATCCGCCAATCTATTTGGCCAGCCCTCATTTTCCAATTTAAAGAAAAAGGTCTTACTGAATTTCATGAGGGTTTGGATTTTACTGACTACAACCCTACAATAATAACATATATTTCTATTCCTCATATCTTCAGAATACCTAGACTAGAAATCCGTGAATAGTTCAGCTTTACAGTTTTTGGCAAAAATCCCATGCGTTGACGACATCCAACAGGAGAGACATGATATCTGGTGTCTCTCCTTCTGTGAAGGCGGCACCACGAAAATCCTTGGCTCATTCAATACTCTCACCTTTGACAAAGGGGCCAAAAACATACACTGAAGCAAAGACAACTCCTTAACAAATGCACTGGGAACACCACTATTTACATGCAGAAGATTCAATCAACACTA